GATAGGATCTCTAAAAGATAGCCTAGGTTAACCTTGAACTCCTGATCCTCCTGTCTCTACTTCCCGAGTACTGGAATCACAATGTATACCACCACCATCTAACTTTTTCTCTTCCCTGTTTTATAAAAGCACTTTCTTCTCTTCTTCCATAGTTTTGTTTTGTTTATTTATTTTATTTATTTTTTATTTTTTAGAGCATCTCTCCCTGCCAAATACAAAGCAAAATACTGCTTGACCTCATGGAGGTTTCTGAAAGCTCAAGTGATGAAAAGCAGCTTGGAGTAGGTAGCACTTCCACAGTGAGATAGACTTCCCTAGGGATGGATGCATCCTCAGCTCTTGCCTTTCCCTGCTGGGCCTCTGGATTCCCTGGTTTGGGATAGGCAGCAGAAGTTGGCAGCTAGTAAGCAAGAAGAAGGCTGTTGGCCCCTACTCAAGACCGCAGCCTCAATGCCACCACACTGCCACCGCCAAACTAACTAGGTACATTGGTGAGAAGAAAACTCGCGCTTTGTGAAGAATTATGCCCGAATGTCTGTCCCAAGCCTTCGAGTCTTTTGGATTCCTAGTGAAAGGCCGCTTGGGAAATAGACTGTATGCCACAAACAGGGTTCTGGTTAAATGGTGACATTTGTTTGCAAAAGTGTATCAGAGGGGAAGCTAAGCTCTTCAGAGCTTGTGTTCATTAAAGCCGTGAAGTGGGGTGGGAGGCAATAAAAAAGGCCAGTGAGTTCTCTTGTGAGATAGTTTTTTGTTCTTATGAATTGAATACTCTGAAAAGTTTCACAAAGAACCTAGGAGAATGCATTTGCTTTCATCTAACATGTAGAGTGTCTCCTTCCACAAATGCCCTTGAATTTAGAAATGTTGTTGAAAACCTGTTTGAAAGTACATAAAAATATATGTAAATAAGCCCTAATTAGTTATTTCAATTAATTATTGTCTGTCTACTTTGCAACTCTATTTTCCCCCATAATGTTGCTTTTCAGAGCCCACTTTTGGCACTCTTGAAAAAAAGTTTCTTAACAGTCATTTTTAAGAAAGCACACTTTCCCCTGTTGAAAACCTCACAATGATAAATTAAAATCCCAGATTGTGCCTCTTCATGGAAAATTGCTTCAGACACTTTCAGTCCGTGACCTGCAGTATGATAGTAAAGGCAATCTCGCTGTCAATCAGCAGAGCTGGGCTTCCTTCTTAGAGACAGATGATATGTGCTGTTTGGAAGATAGTGAGTCTGTATCAGGTCCGTAGCCTCCTGTCTTCCTCCCAGCCTCAAAGACAAGGACGTTGGATTGGGCCTAAAAAGCTTTAGTTCTTCCTCAGCTGAATAGGAGGCTTCCCAGCAGGAATGAAGATGGTCCGCGTGTAGCTGCTGGTGGAGCTCTTGCAGAGCTGTGTAGATGCTCAGTTCCATCTGCAGTGTGGGCACTAAACACTTCTAGACGGAGCTCAGTGCTTTTCCATAGCTGATGTCTAGACAGTGACTGAGTAATCTACATGTCTTCTGCACTGTCATTTAGAGCTTGGAGGAGGTTGGTCTCAGAGAAAACAGGGAATCAGTCCTAGCCTTTACACATCAGAGTCCCTGGTGAGGGATAGGGGAAGATGATCATGAGAAATATGGATTTCTGGTTGCTACCCCAATTCTACAGAACCAGCATCGTCTTGGGAAACGCTCTGCATTTGTCACAAACATTGTTAGAAAATTTGGATGCTTACTGCATTTGACCATCCACCAGTCTCAGCTGTCCAGTTTATCTTATTATGAAGAAGCAGGCCTAGGGAGTTGGTTGGGTCAGGTTCACAGTGTACACTGGACAAGAGTGGCCCAGGCTTCTGGTTCTGGATTAGCACTTCTCTGTACTTCACATGTTAGAGTAGTCCTAGGCATACAGACAGGTTCAAAATGACTTAACTGAGTGGACACCATGATTCCACATAAAGCAGTAAAGACACTCAAGGACCAGAGGTAGCAGTCTGCACAGCGTTACCCATGTCTAAACTAAAACCCCAAAGAGCCTTAGCTGTGTTCTCCCATCTCTCCTCTTATAAGCCCAGAAACCTGTGCAAAGTTCTGAGCATGTTTAGTTTGTCTCCGTGGTACATGTAGTTGAACACCCACTTGAGATCTGTGTGCCCAGTTGAAATAATAATTTTTTTTCTCTGTATAATCCTGACTGTTCTGGAAGTTTCTCTGTAAACCAGGCTGGCCTCAAACTCAAAGAGATCCACCTGCCTCTGCCTCCCAAGTGCTGGGATTAAAGGTGTGTTCATGCCACCACCACCCAGTGAAATAATAAACATTTTTAGGTTATATGTTTTCTATGTGTATTTGTATTTTTTAAATGTTGCCTATATTTGTTATAGAACATTAGAGTAAAGTCATTAAAATTACAGACTGGTAAGCCCATTAGTACCCATAGTATCCAGGAGATGCCTACTGATATAAATTCCAACAATTGAAAAACTAAACTGACCTAGTTCATTTTTTCAGTGTTTTTTGGTGGCAGTCTTTTATATGCATGTGCGCATGTGCCAGAGGGTACCTAGTTTAACATTTGTTGATTGTCTACTATGTGTTAAAGTCTGTGTTACGTGCTGAGGATAAAAAGTATATCTGAGAAGTTTACTGTTTGTTTGGTTGGAGAAACGACATTTCAAGAAGGCATGCAGTCAAGTGCAGCAAACAGCATTCCAGCATTAACCACCCAGAGTTGTGACAGCATCTCGTCTTTGGTCAAACAGAGGCTCATGTGGTCCTCATCTTTTGCACATTGTTTCTCATTCCTGAGCTAGCCTCAAGAATAGGCTCATAATGATTTTGTTGCTACTCAGTAGTTAAGAAAGAATAATAATGTTAAGAACCATGGGAAGATCTAGTTATTAGAATGTACCACTAGCATATGCAGTCCCCTCTGTTTTTAAATACAAGAGGATCTAATTCTCCCTGCAGAGGATATACTGTGAAATGGCATGGTTACTAATGCTATTTTATTTGTGATGGAAACTTCGTTAGATTTTGTGTTATTTCCTTTCTTTCTTTCTTCTTTTCTTTCTTTTTTTTGGGGGTGAGGGGGAGGGTTGAGACAGGGTTTCTCTGTGGCTTTGGGGGCTGTCCTGGAACTAGCTCTTGTAGACCAGGCTGGTGTACAAGATAACAGTGTGTTTTTTAATGCTGATGTGAACTCCCCAGGAGAAAGGAGAAAGGCTGGAATAATGAAGAGATGGAGAATGGCATCCTGCAGACAGCAGGGGAGTTGGCCAGGGGCTGAACCATGGAATGAGAGAAAAGGAGCCTGGCATGTATTGGAAGCTCATGGGAGTCTTTTCATTTACAGAGATCCACCTGCCTCTGCCTCTCCAGATTAAAGGCTTGTGCCACCACTGCCTGACTAAGGTCTTGTGGTATTTTCAGAGTTTATATGCGTCTTTTTGTAGGTACCCAGTTTGTATTAAATAAGCATTTGTTTTTGTTTTTTGTTTTTGAGCTCCCATATGTATGAATAGAACATAGTTCCTCCTATGGAAACATGGTCTCTTTGGGGTCAGGGCCATGATTATTGCCAGGTTCCTTGACAGTCCCTAGACAGTGTTCACAGAGTCATGAAACTCCTGGGATAGGACAAGGGCATGAAAAATTACCGACCAGCAGTTAGTGGTCTTGATAGCATGCAAGATTTGTTGTGGTTCCAAGCACTCAAGGCATTGGGTAGAAACTGATGTGTTTGCTGTGCTGAGTGTGTTTACCTGGAGATGATGTGGAGAGTTCTTGGGCTGGAATAAAGACGTTGTGTATCCAAAGGAGAGACATAGGAAGGAAAGCTGCAGAGGTGAGATGGGACCAGCCAATGCCAGATTCTTTTGTTTGTTTGTTTTTGTTTCTCTGTGGCTTTGGATGCTGTCCTGGAACTAGCTCTTGTAGACCAGGCTGGTCTCGAACTCACAGAGATCCACCTGCCTCTGCCTCCCGAGTGCTGGGATTAAAGGTGTGCACCACCACTGCCGGGCAAATGCCAGATTCTTTACATTGAGTTTTTTTCAAGTGAAGAAATGCTGTGCGTCTGATTTGGGGATCATTTCATCACCAGACCAGCTTACAGCCAAATTCAAACTCTACCTTTTATTTGTCGTGTAATCACACATAGCACATTTGACATTGCAAAATCCTTCCTTTCTTCCCCTCTCCATCTCCACAACTTTCTTCCTTTTATTGGTTTATGTTTTGGCTTAGTTTTGATTTTCTTTTTGTGGACAAGTCATGTCACCCAGGCTAGTCTCAAACTTGATATATAGCAAAAATGACCTTTAATTTCTGATCCCTTCCCTTTGTCTTTGAAATGCCTCCAGATGCAAGTGCCACCATATCACAGTTGTATGCAGTGCTGGGGGTTGAACTCAGACCTTCTTTTGCTAGACAAGTACTCCAGTAACTGAGCTAGATTGATAGCTCTTGGTTTTGTTTCTCTGAGACAGGGGCTCACTAAGTTGCCCAGGGTACTTGGGACTCAGGGACTTACTGTGTAACCTAGACTGTCCTTGAATCCAAGATCCTTGCTTCAAGTTCTGCAGATACAGGGGTGGACCACCATGCTGCCTTCATTTTTTCATTAGTAAAATAGGGTCTCTTTTCTCACAGATGTTGTGTAAGCCAAACAGTCCCGTGTTAGAAGCTCTAGCCAAGTATGTGATATAAATTATTCTGAGAAGGAAAGTGGGGAAAGAAAGACAGTGTAGAGAAACTGATCTCTGTAGCTATGTGCAGAAGAAGTAGAATCAGGGAAGGCCAGAGACAAGGGTCTAGTGAGGACAGTGTCTGCCCTCAGGAGGAGGGAGTCTGGACTCTTAGGCTGGGAAGGAGAGCACACATAGGTCCATGTGTTGTCTGCAGCTTCTCTTCAGCTACAGACTTCATCTAACCCAAGGGCTGTTCTGTGCAGCCTTTTTCTATGGTGTTCAAAGTCCAGCAGCAATCATAGTCTATCTTTTGCCTTGAACAGGATGCCAACGGTCTATCGGTCTTTCTAATGGCAAGGCCAAGGTGTGCAATTACAGTGGGTGGTACTACTGCAGCAGCTGCCACGTGGACGACAGCTTTCTCATCCCAGCACGAGTAGTTCACAACTGGGACACTTCAAAATATAAGGTAGGTGCCAACCTCGGGTACACGTGATGGTGGCAATTCAGGCGTTCATATATGTGAGGTGAACGATAAAGATAACTATAAACCTACTGAGGCAAGCTTGATTGGGTAGTCTCATTAAAAAACAAACAAACAAAAAAAACAGCAACAACAACAAAAAAACCTGGGTCTCACTTTGTAATTCAGCCTGACCCCAAACTAACAATCCCCGTCTCCAGCTGCCAAGAGTGGACTGACAGACGACACATTCCCATCATGTCCTATTGTACCACCAGATTTTATTTAATACTTCTCACACATGGCTCACTATTTCAAAGCTTTTGATTGTGATTCTTATTAATTTCCTAATTTTAAAATTTATTTAAATCTTTTGATCTATCTTTTTGTCTATACATTTTTACCTATAGGCCTTGGTAATGAACTATGGGTGCTAAGAGAATTCTATTTGATGGGAGGCCTCTCTTATGATTTTTATTAGGAGAAATAGAGACTTTCCATGAGCATGCCTATGGTCTCTGGAGAAGGCTTATGTGACCCAAAGTGTTTCTTGTGATGAAATAGCACTCTGATCCAGGTGAAGGCCAGTCTTCAAGCATGTTCAGCCCCTGGAACTGGAATCCTAGGAGAAGCCATGAGGACTTCTGGGTAACATCCTACAGAAGGAACAGTGTGGTTCATCATCTTCAGACCTTAATGAGAACCCCTGTTTATTAAAGAATGGGAGCTAATGAGAAGTTCTGGGATATGCTAAGAGCTTTGCACAGTAATGACTAGCAGACAAGAAAGACAACCAGGGAGTATGAATAGCACATATATGTAGCTATTAAAGTGCGAGTCAACAGGGGAAGAGGAAGACTCAAGACATGTTGGGTCATCCCAACATAAGAATGTAGGGAGAAGAGGGACACCAAAGAGCGTCTGGGGACCAGGAATGAGCGAGTGAGCAGTGAGGTAGAAGGAGCCCAGGCTGCCTGACAAGCCATGTGAAGAAAGTGCTGCCAGATGAACTGTGACAGATGCTGATAGGTCAAATAAGATGAGCCCCAGAACTGACCATTGGCTCCAGTCATGTGGACGTAATTAGTGACCCTAATGAGAGCAGTCTGAATGGAGAGGCAGGCACATAGAATGGGAAGAAAGAAAGAAGTGACAAGAATAGGAGAAGTTTTACTCAAAAGGGAAGAGACAGGTAGGGGAGTGGGGTCAAGCTAGGTTTGACTTTTGTTTAAATAGAAAAATAGATAACAGTGTGTTTTTTAATGCTGATGTGAACTCCCCAGGAGACAGGAGAAAGGCTGGAATAATGAAGTTGAGAGAGATGGAGAATGGCATCCTGCAGACAGCAGGGGAGTTGGCCAGGGGCTGAGCCATGGAATGAGAGAAAAGGAGCCTGGCATGTATTGGAAGCTCATGGGAGCCTTTTCATTTACCAGTAATTTAGATCAGATTTTTTTGGTTTCTATATCTGTGATCTTACAGGGGTTAAGATCCTATCTGGAAACTCCTGCTAATAGGGAAAAGTGGATTATTAGGAAATAATACCATTTATCCACCTGAGGGCTTCTCTGTAGTCATATAGTCTTCACTGTCCTCTTACAGAGGGTGCATTCCTCTGCCCCTGCTGTCAACCTTAGCTCTTCCTTTGCTTATTGTGGTCTTACCAACTCTGGTGGGTTGGTGTTAGTTAGACATCAGTCCAAAGCATATTTTAGCCCCTTCTTGTGTGTTTGGTTAGTGGGAGACAGACTCTTGAGCTTCCCCAAGTCTCAGTTTTCTTATATGTTAGATGAGCCCAGCCTGCCTGGGTTCAAATCTCGGCTTTGTTACCTGCTGATGTGTGGCCTGGGTCTGTTATTTAGACTCTGAGTGTTTTATAGTTTTCTTGTTTATGAGGTGAGGATAGTATTACTTCTAAGGAGTTACCACTGGTTGAATGGCTAAAATACGTAACGCAAGCAGAACGGTGCCCATCACACAGTGCATGCCAAATAAGCATCACAAGCATCAATGCTTTTGGTAACTCACACACTTACAGTTGAGAATTGTATGGAGTAGGTTATTAAAAGAAAAACACAAAAAGGTTGGTGGTTTGAGCTTTCTCAGCAGTTCTATGCTCTGAATTGAGGACTAGATAGATGACTCAGTGGTTAAAAGAGCATGTATTACTCTTGCAGAGGACCTGAGTTCAGTTCCCAGCACCTAAGTCAGACAATTTACAGCTGCCTGCAACTCTAGCTCCAGGGGATATGACACCCTTTTCTGGACTCCTTGGGCACCCACATTCATATATGTACATTCTTACACACACACACACACACACACACACACACACACACACACACACACACACGCACACACACACACACACACACACAAAACATAATTAATTTTTTTAACTTTAAAAAGAAAAGCACCAGAAATGGTGTGATAAGGGCTAGAGAAATGGCTTAGCCTTTAAAGATTAGGCTTATAACCAAAAGTATAAGGAATGGTGTGACAAGTACTTACTGAGTGGAAGTCATTATTCTCATCACCACCACGTTTATATAATTAATTGCTGGGTGTGTGTTTTCTCTGTGAAGGTGAGCTCAGGAGGTGTGGCTTACCACAGCCCATGTCACACAGTTGGTAAGCAGGAGTGACTGCTGAGTGGCTGAGCGTGAAACCCATCCCATGAGCACCTCAAACTCAACATACTCACCAAGTGCATGCTACCTGCACTTACAGATGCAAATACTCAGAGTCATATGAAAGTTCCCACGCTCTCCACCGCCAGACATAGGCAACGTCGTAGATTATTCCTTCCACCACACATGTCCTGGCCGCACAGGAACCAAGACTTCATTGTAACACGAGGTCACGTTCTCAGTCCCAGTACACTCAGGCCTCAGCGGCGGTCACGCAGCAGGAGTCAGTAGCCTTCTTTAATGGTGCTTCTTGCCTTCCAGCTCACTTCTCTTGGTCCCGATGTCACCTCAGATGAATTTCTTCCTCAGTCCTTATCTTAGTTTCTTCATCTTACCATAGAGGTAATAATAGTACCTGTGCCATAAGGATCCCATTTTCTTAACCTAGCATAGCATCAGTGCATGGTAAGTGCCCACTGCAGAATAGATACAGTTCCTTCTGTGATCTCTAGGTCCTGCCCACCTCTCTGGCTCCTTCATCCACATCCATCCCCACTAGTCTCTTCATTAAAATCACATCTACCCTTCTAATCCCTATCCTGCCAGTCTCTTTCACACCTCTTGGCTTTCGCTTGTTCTTACCTAGGCCCAGCAAATCCTAAAATCTGATCTGAGCCTTATTTCCTCCCCTAATTCCTTCCTTCCTTTTCTAGACAGTTATCATGGTCTCCCTGTGCATCTTGTACTTGACACTTCCAATACAGACTATAAATATACTCATGTGTGTATGAGATGAAAGCATATCTAGGGAGGCAGACTGGTTGGATTCACTTTATTAATGTGACATCTAACACCAAGCAAGTGGGTGTGTGAGGCAGTCCCAGCTCCATGGTCTGGTGAACTGGGGCTGGTGACACTTGCCAGCAGGATGGGATGCTCATCAGTCATGGAGAAAAAGCAAAGAGGAGGCACTGCCAGCAAGTGGCCAAGGCAGGCCTGGCTATTCAGAGAGCTTTGAAGATACAGAAACCACCATTCTAACTGGTATTGAGCCCTGCAATCTTCCCGTAAGATGGGCCATGCTGTGGTGGCCCTTCAACTAACTAGACCTGAGTTGAGGGAATAGATAGCTCACTGAAGATGTTTCCTAGGTACACTCACTTCATTCACGCACATGAGGAGTCAGACCTCTGCCTCCCACATTCTCAGTGGACCAGGGACAGTTTTCCGGCAGGAACACGGCCAGCTGATTTTATCTGGATCATCTGTCCCTGGCACTGAGGAACTATATTCCATTTAGTCCAGCATCTGTCTGTCTTTGCTCAGATACCAGGAATTAACTTAATGCTCCTAATTGTAAGGATCAATTTAGACCTATCAGTTTCTAAATCCAGACATCATTCTGTTAGATCTGCCTACCGCCTTTAATAGCAAGTACGTGACTGCTTGACTACCCATTGAAAAAAATGGGTTTGCAGAACAGAATGAAATTGTCATCTTAAGCATTTCCTGGCTGCCCTCTGGAGTATTAATAATCCTAATTACTTCCAAAAGCAAGATTGCATCCATTTCTGGTGCCTCTGCTACCGACTCAACTGGGCTCTGTGACTGAGAGGGAGTTAAACCCTGTCCTTAAATTCTGTAGCCATTTTCTCATGGAATTCTCTTCGGAGGAACCTCCCTGCCCCCTATTCAAACTGATCAGACACCACCAAAGCACTCAACTTTCTTACCATTTCCCCATAGCTGTGCTTTTAAAAAAATGTTTTGTGTGTCCTAGCCTGAATATTCACATTCCATTTAGCTAGGGGTTTTCCACGTTACACAAGCCTATCTCTCCATCTTGAGAGGCATTCAAGACAAGCTCTATTGGCTCTAGCTGCCTTTCCCACTTTATTCATTATTGACTCAAAATGTGTTATGAACTTAGAAATAAAACCAAACTGTTAAAACTGTGTCTGAATTAAGAGTGTGTAGCTCAAAGGGAATGTAATCCCTGCCCTCCATGAATGCTTTTATTTCAGTGGAGGGGGCAAAACATTAAATACATAAATACAAAAATGACTTTGGAAATGAAATACTTCTGCATGTTTGTCATTGTTTTAGAGTCAAGCTCAAATGTAAGCCTACATGCCAGTGCTGCCTAATTGCATTCTAGTCTGTCTCTGTTTTCAGCCTACCTATCTTCTGACAGGAAAGATGGATGGAGGAGAGACAGGGAGCACTGATTTTAAAGTACAGCGAGCAAATAAGTTAGGACAGAGTCCTTAAGAACTGAAGGAGCTGTGGCTGCAGACTCCTGAGCCCGCACAGAGCAAGGTGTCCAGAGTTCTAAGTCCTGGCTCCACTCTGCCATTTCATGACCATAAAGAAGTCATTTGGAGTCTCTGGACTTGATTAATCACAGAAAATGGGTTAATCCACCATTTTTCAAAGTAGATTCTGTGGAACACTTACAAGTTCAGCACTTGCTACCACCAGGCAATCCTGGTGAGGATCAAAAAGAGCCAATGGGTTTAGAGCTTGGTAGGAGGGGAAGTGAAGTTGGAGAAGACGCTCTGCTTCCGGTGGAGGAGTGGGGCATAGATAGATCATCCTTTCTCACGTCCTTCTGCCATCTGTGTGGCTGGAACCGCACACAACTGCCCTGTCTAGATGCAAATAGATTTGAGAAGTAGATAGGTTAAGCAGGTGATCCCCTTCCTCCTCTTCTTCCTCCCCTTCATCTTCCTTCTCCCTCTCTTCCTCCTGTCCTTCCTCCTCCTCCCTGTCATCACTACTGAGCTACATCCTAACCCAATCCAAGCAGTTTTTCTTTACTACCAAGTGTCTCAGCGTTTGAATATGAGACCGTGTTTCACTATGAATCAAGACAAGAAAATGCTATGCAGCATATTTATTTTCCTAACACTTGAACTTGTGGGACTAGTAATCCTGGGAGTACAGATTGAGAGAGTGACTAGATTGTCATTGCCTTTCCTTACTGTGCTGAGGTCGTGTCCTCCTGTGTTTTCTTCAGTCTTTTCCTCCTTTAATAGAAACGGGGCCCTCGCCACCACCGCATCATTTTCAGAGCGTGTCTGTGGTTGACCATTTATCCCCTTTACCCACTACTTCTTTACCCGGGGCTGGTCTGTGTGTGAACATGCCAGAATGTGCATGCTTCCAGAAACCTCTCCCAGGATTGTGCAAACCTAAACAAGATCCAATAATTCTGCAATTAATAGGTAGTTACCATTGTGACAAAACATGTGCTGTGTTCAAATCTGCAATGATTACCCTTAGTGTTCAGATCACATGTGCTCATTTGTAAATGCATGTGTGTGATCGCAGATTTGGTCATCACTAGTTTGTAATTAATTTCAGTGTGATTGTGCCATCTTTTCTAACTCTCCTTATTGTGAGGTGGAGGGGACATGTTTCTACTTGGACTCCTTCCCTCATAAGTCATTCAGACTGCAGGGCTGTGAAGACAGAATCAGCTCACACACTGAAACACAAGCACAGTTACGACATTGAGTTCCTATGGCATAAACCATTCTGTTTGTTCACTACAAGAGTAATAAAGCCAGGCATAGTGGTGCATATCTGTAATCCCCATGCTTTAGGCCAGTCTAAGCTAGCACATAGTACAGTCCCCAGAACCAACATTGAAAGAAGAGAATCCAGTCCTGAAAGTTGTCTTCTGACCTTCACAGGCAAAATATGGCATGAAAATTGCCAACCTAGCAATTGTCTGAATTTGCACACATTTGCACAATAATAGTAAATAAAAATAAGAATAACATTTTGGCATTTTTCCTTTCACAATTTGGTTTGCCTCAAGGACACTAAGTAGCTCAGCTATTTATTGGGACATGCTTGATGTTAACATGTGATTCATGTCATGTTTAGACTAACAAGAAAGAAACTTTCACCTAGGAATACCGTTGGTTTCTTCTCCTAGGTTTACAAGAGTGTAGTTTCTTCCTTAGGCTAGTAGTCATTTAAAAGTTTTTCTTCTTGGAAAATGCTTTGTTTTTGTTTGTTTGTTTGTTTGTTTTCCTTCGAGACAGGGTTTCTCTATATTGCTTTGGAGCCTGTCCTGGAACTCCCTCTGTAGACCAGGCTGTTCTCAAACTCACAGAGATCTGCCTGCCTCTGCCTCCCGAGTGTTGGGATTAGGAAAATGCTTTGTAATGATAGTGGAGCTTTGAGTGTTAAATCATCTTGCCAATTGAGGGAGGAAAACTTTGAGAAGGAGATAAAGCTCTGTTTTGCAAAACTAGCATTTATTCCATGCCAGATTGCAAACTTTTATAAAAACTACCTCACCAGTCTTTGTGAATGGAGTGGAATCAACAGAATCTGGGCTCTGAAGACCTAGACCATGAGCTCAGCCTTGTTGCCAAAAATGGCTGCAGCAGCAGGGATGAGCTTGCACACCCTGGCAGCCGCGTCAGTGGTGCGCTTCACTTCGCCGGAGAAGGGCTAGTGAGTAAACTGGGAAGGCAGAGCCTTGGACGTCCCTGAAGCCAGCTCTGTCTCTCTTTCGTCATTTCAGTTTGTGAGCACTGCTGTCAGTAGCTGCTGTCCTGTTAGTCCCCTGCTTTCGCTGCCGCTGTAAAAGGTTCTTTCCTCCTTTGCTTTTGGGCTTGAGCAGCACCTGAAGAGAGAAGCCTTTTAAGGCCTGGGAGACTGGCCAGTGCCCTTTGTCCTTCTGTTCACCTACTAAAAGGTAGCATTGTTAACCTAATTCAGCGGGGCCCTGGCTCAGTATAAACACTGTTCTGTACACCCGGGAAGACTAATTGAATTGTACAATACATCATTTTTCAGCAACAGTTTCAAGTGGATTGTACTTCGCTTCCCTGAACACCATCAGGCTTTTTTCCTCATCGAAGATATTTAAGTGCAGGAGATATTTAAACACAGTAAATACAACGTGTAATTCAGAAACAACTCAATTTTGTCTTTCTGCGTGGAGCCGCAGCTGGGAGTTGCCTGAGGACAGGGCCATGACTGCTTTGTTCTTCACTGAAGGCCTGGCCCACTATGCTGTCTGCCTTCTGCTCGTATCTTTGCCTCACAGATGAGAGACTAGAGGCTACTGCACTCTGGTACCTTGTTGTTTCTGACCTGATAAAGCAGTTAAAGGTCCAGGCTAATTCTGGGGGCTGTTTGGTAACCTGGATTTTTAGTCTATTAAGTTCCTTTAACTTTGTTACCCTCTGCAGGATATCATAGGGTCAGACTGCACAAAAGATATCCCAGAAATAATGACTTATAAACACACACACACAATTTAAGAAATGGTGCACTTTTTTTGTTTGTTTGTTTTTGGTTTTTTTTGAGGCAGGGTTTCTCTGTGGTTTTGGAAGCTGTCCTGGAGTTAGCTTTTGTAGACCAGGCTGGTCTTGAACTCACAGAGATCCGCCTGCCTCTGCCTCCCAAGTGCTTGCTGGGATTAAAAGTGTGTTCCACCACCACCTGGCAAAATGGTACTACTTTTATAGCCCTGCCAGAAATGAAAACTTCAATGTGAACTTTCCACTTTAAGAAGGTGGTAATGCTGAACCTTGTGTTTGTGTTTAAGAAGCATGCTTTTATTAGTGCATAATAGCCTCACATCTAGTAATCACGCTTCCACATTATACACTGGGGGACCTGGTGATTTTGTCAGCCTGTTGTCCCCTCCTCATACTTCCCTGTTCACTTTGTCCATCAAATGAATTTCCACCTGTAATCCCAGAGCTAGATCCAGCGTAGCTTGCTTCATCGGGCCTACCTAGCTCTCAATTCCCCTTTAAGGTGATTCTTCTCCTTTAAGCTACCTCTGTGGCTCTAGTGACCACAGGCTCATGTGTTTTGTTGTGAGTGTTTATCTTTTGTCCTAGTAGCCCCTTGAGGGTAGGGCTTGAATTCTTTTTCTTCATTAGCAAGCTTTTGCTGTGGAATGTAAGGCACAGTGGATTTTCAGTTTTCTTTTTAATGAACAAAGTCGTTTATTTTAGTGCTTCTGGAGAGGGTTAGTGGGAACTTCTGGAAGGTTTACTTTCCATAAATAGAGGCTCAGCCAACTCTGTATGCCATTAGGCAGTATCAGCAAATGGGCATAGAGAGAGTCCAGTTACACCTATGTAATGGTTTGCTGCACAATGTACGTTTCTTTCTCATTCTCTGGCCCATTGTTTTTCCAATGCACCATTTACTTCTACTTAGAGCAATGCTGTTTAACAATAACTCAAAGATTAAGGAGTTGCCTCGATATATTGACAACAGTCAGCCTATATTCACAGGCTTTCTATTAAGGGCTGCTCCTTTTTTAGCCATTTCTATTTAGTCAGTTTACTTTCCACATAGTTTTTCTCCCTCCCTCCTTCGTTTTTTCCTTTTATTTATTTGTTTTAATATTCCTATTAATTAATATTTCACAATTTGTGCAGCTTTTCGGTTTAAAAAACTTTTTTTCTTTTTTGTTTTTTTGCTTTTTTCGAGACAGGGTTTCTCTATATGTTTTTGGAGGCTGTCCTGGAACTCGCTCTGTAGACCAGGCTGGCCTCGAACTCACAGAGGTCCGCCTGCCTCTGCCTCCTGAGTGCTGGGATTAAAGGTGGGCCCCACCAACGCCCAGCTAAAAAAACTTTTTTTATATATATTATGGAATATATGTGTAGTTTTTAAAGACTATGAGTTCTTTTCCCACATTACTTGAAGTAAGTACAGATTCACAGGAAATTGAACATACAGACAGGAAGCATTTAAGTACCTTTCACCTGGTTTCCTCCTGTGGTCCCATCTTAGGTCACCACAGTAGGATGTATAAAACCAAACAAAGCAGAACCATGACATTGGTGAAATGGATCTGTGTAGTTCTGTGCCATGACAGGTATGGGCTCATAATAAATCCTTCCAAATTTGCCAGTTGAGCTCTGGAAGGGGAAAGAGAAACTACAGTGTGTTTAGTTCCTTTGTGGGTGGGACTTCACTTAGCAGGGTACAGAAATACTACTACTCTGTCACCAAGGTGTGGTTCCCAGGCAGAGAAGACAGGTTTGGAAAGCTGGGTGATTCACCAGCACTGATGGCCAAAGCTTGTTTTGCAGGTGTCCAAGCAGGCCAAGGAGTTTCTGGAGTATGTGTATGAAGAGCCCCTGATCGACATCCAGCAGGAGAACCCCATGCTGTACCTCCACGCAGAGCCACTGGCCACTGTTGTGCGGCTTCGACAACAGTTGAAATCACTCCGAGCCTATTTGTTCAGCTGCCGGGCGGCAGTGGCAGAGGATCTGCGCCGCAGGTAAGTCATCAATGCCATTTTACTCCAGTTTGTTTTTGCTGTCTGCCCAGGGTGGTGGTCAGACACCGTGAGCACCTTTCCCAGGCTGTGCGTCCACCACCTCCTGCCCCTGGCTCATTTCACTCTCTCCTTTGACTACCTAGTCTATTGAGTCAAGCGCAAATGAACATTACTCAGGCTAACTCAAGGCTTTGAGCCCATGAATGAGTGTTCAGAGCAGTAAGGCCTTCCTGTCGGGTCGCTAAGGTCAGGTCTTACTCTAGGGACTTTCCATGGGTCATAGAGGCAGATCTTGGAGAATTTCTAGGCTCTACTTACTGCTTACCATCTGTTAGCACAAGCAGATTTGAAATATTTCACAGCTAAAAGCATTTTAATAGGAAACATGTAAAATAATTAAGAAATGTGGTTATTCCAATCTTTTTTTCTGTACAAAACCAAATATACAAACTTTGTAGCTACTGCCGGCAGGAAAGCTCGGCATTAAAATGCACATCCTAGGCTTCTGCCCTTCACCTCGAACTTGGCACAGGCCGCTCTTCTTTCTGTAACTAAGTCAGTTCATGGTTCGTAGAACAAAAAGGCCAAGCCAAACTCACATCCTTAAAATGAAGTTAAAATATGCTTGATCTCATAAAATTCCTTCTTTTACAGTTGTGTTTTATGAGCAGTTAAATTCTCACCCTTGGCATATATGAACCAGTTTATACTTGAAATAATTGTTGATGGCATGTATAAGTCCCTAAAATACCTTTTGATTTTTTTTTTATTTTAATAGAAATGACAAGCCTCATACATTAGTCATAGTAAATGTTTTTGGAAGTCAACCTACATGCATAAGAGCCTTTGGATAGAATCAAAATGAGTTTGCAATTTGAGATTCAATTAGATCCAAAGAAACTGCCATGACCCCAGGCATCTGAAGAAGACATTTCAGAAAGAACTAAATGTAGGTAGTTAAAGGGACATGCTCTCTTGCTGGGCTCTGATGAAGTAATAACGCAAAGGCAGCCACGATGGAGTGAGACACTCCTCGTTCAGTTACATAGTTCTTTTCCAGAGAGTAATAGAGACATTTTCATATAATCTGGCAGATCTTAATTTTAAAAGCTCAGAGCTCTTTTCGGGGGCTGGAGAGATGACTCAGTCAAAATCACTTGCTTGTATTCCAGAGGGTTTGACTCCCAGCAGCCTGCCAATATGGTAGCTGACAACTGCCAGTGACCCCAGTTCTGGGGGTCCTACACCCTCTTCTGGTGGGCAGTGCATACACCCACAGTCATGAAATAAAAATAAATACACCTAAAAAAATCTCAGGACTTTCTTTGGAAGATGGTAGGATTCTGTGTCTTCAATTCACTTAGCAACTGAATTAGAATTAATATATATATTTTTAATTTTTAGCTCTTAAAATATTCTTATTTTCTACTTCAGTACTTTTTGGCTTTGCTCAGAGCTTATGTTTCTTGCGCCTATGCTTGTGGATGATATGAACATATGCACATGGGAGTCCTACTAGAGACGTTTCTAGCATAATGTTTAGCTTTGGTTAAAGTACTCCAAATAAGGCATGCATTTGCGAATTAAATAGAAGGCCTCTTCTCTTACGGATGACTGACAGCCTCCACTCCAGCAGTCCAATGGTTTGCCACAGGGAGCTATGCCTTATAGCCAGACCACCAAGAGAAAAGTGGGGGTTTAGGACAGAGGCCTTGAGAGGCTGTTCCCAAAACCATGAGAATGAAGACAGCAGTCCTCCTTTCCTTTCCTTCATTTCTTTCTCTGGGCTTGCTCATGGCCATCACATAAAGCAACGTGTGTGGTTTTGAGTGGCTGGAGGACAGGCAGGGGAGGAAGAGAAGCACCCATGGGCATTAAGTGTCACTTGAGGCCACTCAACAGCGAGTGAGACCAGTCACCTACTAAGCGTGAGGCAGATGTCATCCAGTTAGTTTCTCCTTTCTTCTCTGTTGGTCTCTTATCATGATGTCTAACCAACCTGACCACCCAGACCTAGAGTTTGAATGAATAAGCTAGAGAAATAACTGATCAAATCAGATAAAATATTTAGTCAGGCATCTCTCTTGGAAAGGCCAGGCTACTCTAGGGCATATAGTACAGTTTACTTAAATAAGTCTTTTTTCTTCCCTTCCTACTTAAATCTATTTTGAAGCCTTTTCTTGATAAACTTCAATTTTGCCACATTAAAAAATGTCTACTTCAGTTTCTGAGATAACTATTAAATCTTTCCTTTCCCAGAATGATTACAATACCTTTATAACTAGCTAATATCATTTTCCCTCTCCAGTCAAACCTTTATATTAGATGCATTATTAAAGTTCACATATAGGCTTCAAAGTCTGCCCAAATGTAGCCAAGTATATTGTTCTACTTTCTCTCATACGCTGTCCTTCAAACAAAGACTATTGTTCCACTGAATACAGTCGCAGTTATGAGAATGAAACATGTTTGCATTACTGAAGTGTTTACAACAATGCTGGCACATAGTTGGCACTCAGTATATAGTAGTATTGTTATTACTAGTGCTTCATATCAGATTGTTCTTACATCTGACTTCAATGTTACACTTAAAAGCCACTCCTGATGTCCTCTCTGCTAGGACTAATGCAGTTCTGTGGCTGTGTGAGGAGAGAAGCACACAGGGAAGGGGCTAGAAAGCTCCCTGGTGTCTGAGTGTGGCAGACTCACCCTGAGTGCAAGCAATGCGATACTGTTTCCTAGAGACCCTTACAGGAAGTTCGTTCTTTTTTCAGTTTTCATTTTTTAGTTTTCCTATACTTAGGTACTATTAAGATGAAGTTGGGAATAATGCATACCTGAATCCCAGGATTTAGGTATGTAGAGGTAAGAGGATCAGGAGTTTAAGGTTATCTTTGACCATATAGTATATTCAAGGCTGATTTGGGCTACAAGAGATCCTGTCACAATAAAATAAAGTGCAGTAAAATACATTTGGTGACTGGATGTGGTGGCACACACTGTATTCCCTGTGAGGCTAAGGCAGGCGGCGTGCAGAGTCAAAGCCATTCTGTGCTACACAGAGAGGATGAGTTCAGCCAGGCTATATTGCAAGACCCTGTCTAAACAAACAAGCAAACAGAAAAGGAAGGGTGGCCAAGTGGGTAAAGGCATTTGCTTCCAAGTCTGGTAACCTGAGTTCAATCCCCAGAACCCCCATGGTAAAGGAAAGATCCAACACCTACAAACTTGTCCTTAGGCATGCACATGCATCCTGTAGCATGAACATGTGTGTGCACAAACACACATACACACAAAGTAAATACAAATGGAAAGGAAGAAAAGATCAGCATATTAGTGATAATAGTACTCTTATAGCTTTCTTTTTATAAGGGGAAGTATGTGGACAGGGTAGATCTTTTTATATCAAATCTTTTGACCTCTTTTGAAATATGACTGTTTGATGCAGTAATCTCTCAGACTTTCTGTGACAGGACTTCCTACAGCAACCAGTTTATAATTTCCCCTCTGCTGTCTTCTTTGTCTGTAAACATAGCTGTAAACATGAAAGGGGATTATTACCTACTTAATAAGCTAAGTTTCCCATTTGCAGAGCCACTCTACACCTGTTCTTTGATTTCTATAGAAATGAAATTTTTAAGAACAAAATGAGCCAACAGCACCTTCTGAGATGCCAGGTTCATTCACAGCATACATTTTAGGGCCCCTGTTTGAGCAGAGGACAGAGCATCTCAGAGCAGGGAAAGGAAGACGAGCCAGTTAGGGGAGAATGAATATTCTCACATGCATAAAGAGGGTAATAGAGGGAGGTGCTGATGGGTAACAGGGAAACAACAACAAAAATTTCAGAGAATGTGGCTCCTAACTAGTTATAAAAGGCATTTTCTTCCTGCCTGGTTTTACTTCAGAATGAGAGTGGTCATTAATCACCAGCAAGTAGGCCCAACATGCCGAAGACCTGTCAGCACCGTATAAACAGAGTAAAACAAACTGTTAATATTGCTGTCGCGAGAAAACTGGAAACAGACTGATTAATCGTATTGGCGCTTGACCGCCAGGGAGCCAACTTGGGTCTCTGCCTTATTAGGGAAGTCACAGTTTGCTTTTAGTCCCTTGTTATTATGACTGTACGGTTTTCGTCCTCACTGTTTTTGTTATTGTTGTTAAATGGATGTCTCGGTCTCAAATCTCTGCTGCAAATCTTGACTGGCAGCACTGATTAGTTTAGAAAGAGTCAGTGTCTTCTATGAAGCCTCAAATGTTTACGGCGCTGACAGTTCTGTTTCTGATGACTCCCAGATGGTGACCCTGCTGAATTAGCTCAAGGCCTTGTTAGCTTTTTGTTGTTAGAAGAGTTATTTATCGTGTCCACACATGAAGGTGTGTGAAGAACTATGGGAAATTTCGGCAGTGTCAGGAAGCATGGGATCAGTAGCCATTAAGGGACGTGTTCTGGAGGGACACAAGGAAGAACTGCCTATATATTCAATTCAACTCAGGGCTAGAAGGATATGTCTAAATCAGAGGTACGAAACAAGAGGTACCTCAAGGCCAACAGACCTATTTTCTATTTTGTTTGACCTTACAGGAGTCTTACAGGAATGGCTTCCACTAAGCTCTAAAATGACATGTTAAAAAGTAGGAGTTACCCATATAATGCTTGCACTGTGTGTGTGTGTGTGGTGTGTGTGTGTGTGTGTGTGTGTTGAACTTGTTAATATGCTTCTGTACTCCAGGAATTCCTAGGGCAGATGGGAGGCAAAAGAATGAGAAGCCTTAGAGCTCACAGGCTAGCCAGCCTGGCATATGGCAGAGGAGAACAACAAAAACGGAGGCCTTGTCTCAAAAAAAAAAAAAAAAAAAAGCAGAGGGTGTGGGTGTGGTGAGGACTGACACCTAAGATTGTCCCATGACCTTTACATGTGCTTCATGGTGCACACTTATATCCGTACTCACACACATTAATTCATTGTATTGGCATTTGACCGCCAGGAAGCTAA